CATTCTCCTTAATGAACATAAATGAAAAAATCCTCAACATGGAATCCTAACATTCTGTGTTAGCAAACAGAATGTAGCACATCATCAAAAAGATCATACATCATGATCGAGTAGGTTTCATCCCAGCGATGCAAGGATGGCTCAACATACAGAAGTCAGTAAATGTAATACATCACATAATCAGAAACAAGGCCAAAAACATGATTGTATCGATAGATGCATAAAAGGCTTTTGTCAGAATCCAATACTCCTGCATGATAAAGGTCCTGAAAAAAACAGGTATAGAAGAATCATAACTGACTATGATAAAAGCCATTTATGAAAACCAATAGCCAGAATAATCCTACATGGGGAAAAACTAAAAGCATTCCCCCTAAAGTTAGGAACAGGACAAGGATGTCCACAATCATCACTTCTATTCAACATTGTACTCGAGAAGTTAGCCAGGGCAATCAGGCAAGAGAAAGAAATAAAAGGGATACACATAGGAAAGGAAGAACTCTAACCATCATTATTTGCTGGTGACAGAAGACCCAAAGAACTCCACCAAAAAAATCTAGGAATTAATAACCAACTTCAGCAACGTAGCAGGGTAAGAGGTCAGTGCATAAAAATCATTGGCATTTGTGTACACCAATCATGAACTTGATGAGAAGGAAATTATGAAAACATTAACATTCACTCTAGCTTCAAGATAAATTAAACACCTAGGAATTAACCTGAGCAAGGAAGTGAAGGACCTCTATAAAGAAAACTGCAGGAGCATCAGAAAATGAAAAGATGTCCCGCACTCCTGGATAGGCTGAACCATGCTATCAAGGTAGCCATACTCCCCAAACTGCTGTACAAATTCAACGCAGTCACAATCAAAATACAAATGGCTTGCTTTGCAGAACTAGAAAACACAATCCTAAAATTCAGATAGAAGCAGAAGAGACCTAGAAGAGCAAAAGCAATTTTGGACCGCAGAGCAAAGCAGGAGGCCTTGCACTACCTGACTTCAAGTTACGCTACAAAACAACAGCGATAAAAACGGCATGGTACTAGAACAAAAGCAGACACGTGGGTCCGTGGAGCAGAACAGAGGACACGGAAACATTCCTAGACACATTCAGATAAAGTACCATTTCTGTAGCGCAAAGTGTGTCTGTGTGTTACCGCTGATTGTCTCATGAAATAGGTTCAATCATATTTTCAGCGAAGTACTTTCCCTCTGTTCATTTCAAAAGAGCATCGAGTTGGAAGGTATTGCACAGAGATACCGCACGCACTCATCTTTGCTCTGTCTACACATCTGCAGATAGAGGAACTCTGTATAAGCAAAAATCTAAATTAATGGCGCCAGCTTTTCACCTTCCAATCTGTCTTCCAAATGGTTAGAGTGCGAAAGATTCTACTAAAACAATAAGTGCTTTACATTTTGAGAACACTGATAAAATTTCTTTATAATATTAACTGTGCTTACAAGAAAACAGTTTAATGGTAGACGCAATTTTGACAGGAAAAAAAACCAAATCACCCTTCATGTGAAAATTTTCTTGCAAGGCAAAGGAATGAGAGCTACTTATGAGGAAAAGTCATTGGCTAAATGGAAAGGGTATTTCAGAGTATGACTGAAGGATCAGATGCCTCTTAGCCTAAGAGTAAGGAGAAACCTAGAATTTTACCGAAATTTAGTGTCATTGTGAAGATGTTGACAATAAAACTTTTGCCAGAAACCTGAGATGGTTTAGTAGTTCAAATGTTTTAGAATTTACGCAGGTTCAGAGGGATCAAGGTAGACATCTTAGCCGTCGAGAAGTTCTGGACAGCCACTAGTATGTAGAGCATCTTACTGTCCAAAGACGGAATCCCAGTGCAGTCAGCACCAGCCTAGGTTTTGGGGGACTGGCGAAACGTGTTTGTTTTTTTGGTTTTTTTTTTTTTGTTTTTTTTTGTTTTTTTGTTTTTTTGTTTTCCAGTACTGGGAATCGAACTCACAACCTTGCGCTTGCCAGGCAGGCACTGTGCCGCTGAGCTAAATCCCCAGCCGCGAAACATGTTTGATAGAACGAGTATCAGCAAGATGTGCCAGAAGTGAGGGCCGGAGGGAGACAGCCAAATAGCTAGTTACAGCAGCTCCTGGGTTACGTTCTTACTTTGGTAGAAATGTGCCTAAAGAAGCCAAATATCATCCCAAGCTTAATTTATTCACAAGCAGGCAATCTTCTGCATTTGGAACGTGTTTGTATCACGAAGAGCTAGAGAAAGAAATGAACACAGGGATAGAACTCTCTGCCCAGTGGAAGAAGCCATACAATGTATACATTTGTTTCAATAAGCAAGTGGAGGAGATGTGGGGGGAATTTGGAAATACTTTTCCCTGGCAACTCTTTAAAATGAACGTAAAGAAGGGGCGAGAGAAACCTTGCTAAAAGTCCTCCTCTATTTCCAGATTCATTTCCTGCTATGACTCATTTGAGCCTTCAAAAAGAGATCCAGTAGGACATTCTCAGTTCAAATTCTCACTCATTAAAACCTGAAAATTGCCCGGGCGTGGTGGCGCACGCCTGTAATCCCAGCACTCGGGAGGCTGAGGCAGGAGGCTCATTGCGAGTTCGAGGCCAGTGACCTCAAGGCCAGCCTGAACTGCACAGCGAGACCCTGTCTCAAAAAAGACAAAAAATAAATAAATAAATAAAACCTGAAAATACAAAATAAAAATGCAATCCAGTGGGATTTTAAGATCATTACACTCAATCTCGCACTTTCCTGAGAGCAGCAGAACATAGAAAGAAGGGCTTTCTCCCCTTGGCCAATCTACTCTTAACAGGGTCACCTGAGAGGAATCCACACTCTACTACCGTATTTCACACTTTCACCTGTATGTGTGCCCCACTTTTAACACGAACTACCTCGTTCTGACTAGGAAGTAGCCAAGGCTTCCCATGTTCCAGTGAATCCAGTGTAAAGGAAACAAAAAGTTATCTGTCACCAGCTACATGTGCAAAGTAAATGACTGCCAAATTTTGGTCTGTCTCCAGATAGACACAACTCAACTCCTCAGATTGCCCGCTTGCCTGGTAATGCACACAGCTCTATAGTCAGGGTGAGTTCCTGCTGCTCAGCTTCTTGCTCTTTCCTTCCTTCCCTATAAAACTGCAGCTATGCTCCGTCTTCACGGCTGTGTTTTGGCAGCTATGCGTCGCGCCTACTCCTGTGTCTTGCAGGTCCTTCTCTTCGATCTGATTAAACATCACCAGTGATGCCTGAAGGAAGCCGCAGAGACGCTCTATGTTTGGTTTGGTTTGTTGTCACATAGTCCCATATACCAGTCTGCTATTTGTAAATACTGCCTTTCTGGGTCTGCTGCCACTTACGATAACAAGAAACCCATTTCTTTACCCAGTAGCAGGTTATTTCCATGACAAATCTGCACAGTTTTATCTATACAATGCATAAAAGATTGATTACATTTCCACACGTAGATGATGTTTACTATTTTATCAATATCAATATGAAATAGAACCTCAGGGTTCTATGTGAACCATACTTTGGTACTTTATTTAAAATTATAGTTTAAGAACATTGCATTTCTTTGTTTCTTCTTTCCTTCTTTCTTATTATCCAAACCAGTTTTTAAAATTATTTTCCACTTTCACCATACTAATTAGTATGATGAATGAAAAGTTTATTTATGCTAAAAGTTTGCTGTATCTTTAAGCATTTTGTAATTATTTAGGGTGTCTACAACTCAAATACTTGCATATAAATCATTAAAATTAAGCTGACTTTGAGAAATGTTTCACTTTTTTATATCAACTCTAAGTTTCACTTCAACAAAATGTGCTCATACTGCATTATTCTATTCCTTTACAATAAAACTGGAAAGCAAACTAAAAATAATAAAAACAATGTAACAGCATGAAAATTGCATGTGTTGTATTTGTTTTGGAACAACAAAAGTTTCTTTTCTCATTCCCAAAATATAAACCATAAAGTTTAGACTACGGTAGGTATCCGTCACCAAGAAATGAAGAGTTAGTATTAATTCAAAGCTACTTGAGAGAGTATAGCTACACTCAGTTTCTACAATACAATTGAAGCAGAATTATCAGAATAATTTTAGCTATGAACCCCTTATTCTGTGACACTTTGCTTTGTTGACAGTTTCTGAACAAGGAAGAGTCATCGAGGTTATTTTAAAGTCTCAGTGTTAAACGAAGTTTCCAGTAAATAAGTCACTAGTAAACTATTCAAGGTGAATTAAACATTATGCAAAGTTTATTATTTTTCTCAACTTGTCTACTTCTAATGAAACATGCTGAAACAATATTGAAAATATGGAGTACTAATTCATACAAGCAAATATATGTATATTGTATAGACACAGAATTAAATAAATAAATTTTAATCCCTCCTATAAATTTCAAGGTATTGTAATTAAAATTATTATTTTAAAATGTTAATCGCTTTAGCATACTGGAAATCTTCTAAACAAACTGTTCAGATTTACACCTGCATAGAACACAAGAATAATCTGTTAAACTTAGGGAAGAAGAAACATGCTAATCTACTGTCTGCTACCCTTTCTGCTACAAACAGAACTTATATTTTCTTATCTCTAAAAGCTAATAAAATAGATATTGCTAGAATGTAAATAGAAATTAACATTTACTTGTAAAATAGCATGAGGCAATAAAATGTTAAATCATGTTCCAATTTAGTAAATATCTGAGAATATTAAACTGGAAGAAGAAATTCCTTTGGTTATCATGAACTAAAACTGTGATTTCTATCTTGATTAAAATGAGACATTGACAGAGATTCAGTTATATTTTACCCGAATTATAGCAAATCATAGCTTGACTGCTCTAACATCCTGATACCTAGTTATCAAGCAAGACGAACTTATAATTATAAGCAAGCTATTTCTATCAAAGTAAAACAGATATTGATTAGACTTGCCTTCACACTTTGTTTAATGTACAGAGAATTAACCTGCCGGTTTAGTTACCTACCAGCAACAATTGGATCCTATCAACGCAATCACCTCTACCAACAGCACCAAGTTACAATCCCTCTTCCCACAGTACAAGCACCCTGTCCGAGAGACAGGCGAAGTAAATGCTATCTGATCGTGACTAATGAGTAGTTGGGCTGGTTGGAATCCACTTAGTTGGGGAAAAAGAAAGGAGAAGTTGCTCATTAGGGCATTTCCTGAACCCTGCTTGGAATTTCAGTTAAGGAAGAAGAAATGACACAGCAGTTTCAAGTTAAGGCGACTTCCTTTCTTTATCTAAAATATGCTACTAATTTGAGAAACAGTTCTCCAACCAAATTACTCCACAGTGGTGTGGCTGCGGTAAAATTCTCATTCATCCCATTATTGCCCCATCATTAGCTTTACAGAAGCAGTGTATGGTTTCTATCCGAAAAGACTAAGACCGTACATTTATTGCAACATGTTATGCTCCACAAGTAACATTTCTAAACGGACCTGCATTGTGTTTTAGTTCTTAAGCACTGCCCTGCTATTTAAAAGGCGTAGTCTTTGTATAAGACTTTAAAAATCCCCATATTTCACATAATACAAAATTTCTTCTCTTGCCCAGATTTCTATTCCTATTATTATCACTAGTGTTATCATTTATATCCTAGTTTGGTCTGTGTTTTTAAGAGACATAGCACTGGTTACATGCTGCTTTTATAAGTGAAACTACTATGTTCTTGTCTCATGTGTCAGTTACCTGTAGAAATTTAAAACCCAAAAGATACAACTTTGTACCCACCCCGTAATTCTTGCTGTGGTTGTTTTTGTTCCGAGATTTGCTTGTTTTACCCATATTTTAAAAATATAAAAAGCAAGGTGTTTAAGAAAATTACTAATGTTTCATGTAACTCTTACATTTAAATGTTTCTTCCCCTTGGGTTTTAGAATTGAACACAAATTGGTGTTAATATTTTTGAAGGACTGGAAAGTATATGAAAATACTGTATCTTAGTACTTAGTATCTTGCTTTAAGAATTTCAGCACTATTTTTTAAAGGCTGCAGCGCTGTCAATAGAAAGTGTTTAAACTGCATATTTTCTGGTTATTTTATTGACGGTGTTTAGAAGTAATAAATAGTTAATCTAGTATAAAATCAACCAGTTTAGATTACTATAAAGAAAGTAAGATTCATGCCAGAAACATTGTCAGGAAAGAAAAGATTTCAGATTTTTATTTATAATAGAAACAATTGAAATTAGTACCTTTGTGTGATATAATGTTTAATGTATTTGTTTAAATTATATTTCTGAGATTCAGAAGTCTTAGAGTTATACTACTATATTGGTGTATGTCTGGAATTCAAAAGTTGGAAAAGTTAAAACACTTGCACACTCACACCTAAACCACCTGGAATCTGTGTGTTAGTAATGGTTATCTTTAATGATGCCCCAGTGGGATAGATATGACTTAAATTTTTGTTATCAGTTGCTTCCATATTTTATATAACAAGGGTAGATGATATTTGTTATAAAATTTTGATCTTATGCTTAAAATATATATACCAAAACTTTTAGAAATACTATAGCATACAACTTGTCACAAAATAACTTAATCACAAATTATCTGCTTCCTTATGAAAAGAATGAGACCTTGGAAATGACTCACCCTAATTTAAATGCTGTCTTTTCTTATCACCTGGTTGATGTTTAGGGACTTCCTGAGCAAAGTATTTCAGTTAACTAATCATGAAAGGAAGAAAAAGGCCAGGTATCTCCTCAGGATTCATCCAAAAAAAATTTCTGTTTACGGAAGGGGGAGGATTCTCTCTCTTCCTGTTTACAGGGCCCTTGAGTCTTGGCGATTCTGTACATGAAATGCTTCTCACAAAAAACTTCAAACTTGCATTTTACTGCTTTAGTTCAAATCTCAGCTCTGCCTTTGCTTGGCTGTGGCACATTGGTCAAAATAGTTACCCTCCCTTTGCCTCAGTCTCCTCATCTGTAAAATGGGCATTATAGTCGCATGTACAGTGAATTATCATGCAGATTAAGTGATTCCTAAAAGTCAGTTTAGCAGGCAATTAGTAAGTTCAGTGTGAATTTTCCACCTTTACATAATTGTTTCTGTCATCTCTTTATACTGTCCTGTCCCCTTCCACCCTCCCCTAGATCTGCCCACTGCCAGTTTTTGTATCCAAATAATCTAGCTTCTGATTTGTTGTCATAGATGATGTGCCATCTTATCCAGAGAAGAGCTGTCTGCCCAGGTACTAGATCCCATTCTCCTTGCCTACCCAGAAACGGCACTGAGCAATTCGCTCCTTCATCTAGAACTCAGGGTGTCAAGCCTTTCCCTACGAGATCATTTCCATTAGAATGCAAAGGCATGTTGTTGCTCCCACCTGAAGGGGAGAAAGCTTTCATTTGGCCCCACTTCTGCCAGATTTCATTCTATGTCTTTATTCCTTTACAAATCTCAAGAGTCATCGGTGGTCACTGTCTTCCATTCCTTTTTACCTCTGTTAAACCCATTCCAACTTTCAAAACTCTTCCCAAAGTACCAAAATTGACCTTGTCGGCCTGGCATGGTGGCGCATGCCTGTAATCCCAGCACTTGGGAGGCTGAGGCAGGAGGATCCTTGCGAGTTTGAGACCAGCCTGCACTACAAAGTGAGTTCAAGGCCAGCCTGAACTGCATAGCGAGACCCTGTCTCAAAAAGACAAAAAGAAAAAAAAAATGACCTTATCAGCATTACCAGTGTCCTCTATCTCCTCAGTCAAGTGGTCAGTTCTCAGTCTCACCTTTTTCTATCAACAATGTATTTTTGATAATTCTTTCCTCCATGAGTTATCTTTCTTTATAGGTTTTCAGTTCACCAAAAAAATCAATATTCTCCTACTTCACTTAAAAGTTCTTCTCTGTCTCTTCCATTTCCTCCTTTTTTCCCTCATCTACTAACACTGAAATGCTCAAACGAGCAGCTTGTTGTTTTCTCTAGCTGTATCCGTTACTTTGACGACCTCATTTCTCCCCACGACTGTCGGTGATCTGTGTGCTGACGCCTGCACGGCTGCGTCTCCTCTCTCCCGTACCTCACACACATGCATACGAGCACCTACTCCACATCTGCATTTTGCTGCGTAGCAGCAACTCGAGCCTGTCCTTCCTTCCAGTCACGCCCCGTGTACAGCCTTCCCTGACTTCCTTCCTGGCGTCATCATCTCTGCAGGAAGTCAGGCTCACAACATCGAAGGTATTCTCACCTCAACGCCTCTTATATCCCTTAACTTACAAGTAACCTTTGTGAGCCTTAGCATCAAAAATACCCACCATCTATGTACCTGCCTCAGCCAGCTCCCATTGCCACCGTCCTGTCAGAGCTAGCGTGATCTGTCATCCGGGCATGTGCAAAGGCTGACTTTCTAACTGTCCTTGCAGCTTTCTGGTTGCCACTCCTCCACTCACCAAAATGCACAAAGGCAATCAAAATGGGTTTGCAAAACCCAAATCTAGTTTTGTATCTCTTCTGTTCAAAATTCTCTCAGAGCATCCCTCTATACTCAGAATAAAAACTAATTCCAATTCCGTAAGAATGGCTTCTAAAATCCTACGCCTACACAACTTGCTTGAGTCTTTGTGAAATACCAACTCCTACTTCTCACTGAAATATATCCTGAAGTGGCCGAAAATTTTACCCTTCTCTCCTTTCCCCGACTTCCCTCCTCTGGCACTCTATTCTTCTTACCCAGCTTTGCTTATTTCTTTTTTATAGGCCCCATTACACACTGAGTTTACTGCTAACTTTCCATCAGCCCCTCAAACTCGGGCTTCGCAGGAGCTACATCTCCCATCTGCTTGCTCACTGGCATGTCCAAAGCACTCAGGGCAACATGGCTGCCTCTCGAAGTACACGTGTTGAATAAGTGAACTGGTCAGCTACCTAGTGATCTCGCTGACCTGTCTCCTACTAAGTCCCACCTTGCTTCCGGTTCATCTTTCTAACTCACACGTTTCATCCTGTTATGTTTTATTTATAACCACTGGGAGATTCCTGCTGTCTAAACTCTGACTCCAGATGCTCTAAAACAGCTAATGGAAGCCTTCACAGCTACATCTGAACCTCAGTTTCAAGTTTCTTTGTAAGACATCGTCTCTCCCTCCGTTATGGATGCCTTGCAGAAGGACGGGCCTCTTCAGTTTAGGTCACATTTGACCTCACACTGGAGCCGTCCTTGACCTCTACAGAGTGAAATGTGCCGACGTGTGTGTGAACACGGGTGGAACTCTGTACGTATTTCTATCTTAAATACTAATGTCAATATATTTTAATCCTCAATTGTTATTGCTTCAATGAGATATCACCAAAATTTTATTCGCATGCTACTGAGTGTGTTTATTAAATTCACTGAGAATAAATGAAAAGTCCTCCACCAAATTGTTCTGAAAATATTAGTGAGTGATGATCTGAGCAATCAGATGTAAGACAGATATAAAACTAGAATAAAATAGCTCACTGGGGGCTGGGGATTTAGCTCAGCGGCAAAGCGCCTGCCTGGCAAGCGCAAGGTCGTGAGTTCGATTCCTGGTACCGGAGAAAAACCAAAAAAAAAAAGCTCACTGGTGGTACATAACATGGAACTCAAACCTTTTTACATTGTTAGAAATTTGCTATATGATGAAGTGTACAAAATCTTGATATACCCCTTAATAAATATTTTATGATAAATTCCTAACAATTTGATATGTGGAAAAGAGAAAATATCCCTTCCCTCTATTGTATCAAAAATTCAATTTCAAAAATTGTAAAGGTTTAAATTTAAGCATTTAAATCACTACCCAGGAAAATAGTTGAGTGACTATTTTGTAACCTATACAGTTCTGACTGATGGAGGACAAGATGCTCTTCCCTAAAACAGAAGGGTGTGGCTACAGTTTGGGTCTGGACTACCGCTCAAAACCCCACATAGTGAAGCCTTGGTCCCCAGTCTGACACTACGCAGGGGCGGTGAAACTCGAAGAGGTACGGCATACCCGGAGGAGCACGGAGCTGCGGAGACACCTTTGAAAAGGACTCTGGGAACCTGGTCCCTTCATTTCCTCTCCATTTTGCCATGAAGTGAAAAGCTTTGCTCCACCCAGC